TTTAACAGCAAGAAATGTTGTATATATGAGTAACTGGATTGATGCATAGACCTGTGTTATGCTGGGTGCAACCAAAATGTGTAACAAAAGGACAGGCCCTACACAATGGTTCCTTAAAAAAATAACAATGTTGACAAGACTTTCACTGTAGGCATTGCACAGCATGTCTACACTCACAAATGCAGTCAAATGTTCCTACAATATGTCCTGTTAACCACAAGTATTTAACTGACAGTAACTGGATTTTCCACTGGGAGAGAGCTCTGGGTGCATGGTGGTCTGGTTTAAGGAACAGTAGGAAAGCAGCTTTCATCCTCTTTGCAGCACACCAAGAAAAAGAGGTGCTTGCTTTGCACACCTAGGAAGCAAGCTCTCTTCTGTCTCCCTTAAGCAGTTTTCTGGAAAGGAAGGCCACCGGGTAGCAGGCAAAACCTGAGTTTGCACCTCTGCTTATAGCTTAACTTGCAAAATCGTATAGCATGAAACTACTGAGCTCTGAGGCTGTTGGTGGAAAAAAGCTTTCTCTGCTAGTTTCCCCAAAGGTGATTTATTCTGTAAAAACTGTATTGTGTAACACTTTCTGCCTTAAAAGCAGCTCATGCAAAATTAATTACATTGCACTATGTTTGTGGGAAAATACATTTTACTACAAGTTAATTTGAAGAAAAAAATATTATACAATGAATGCTATAACAGAAACAGTTATGAGTTGCCTTAACAGCATTTATAAATCAAATCACTGCACATCCATAACTTTAAAACTAACCTACATCAGGCTTTTGGAATAATGTACAAGTAAAACAATTTTTGAGTAGCTCTGTATTTTTCCTAAGTTGTGGCTGACAACAAAAAATGTGGGTTATTTGTTAAAAATACAAGGCAGAATTATTTTCTTTCATTTTAAGACTTGATGAATTTTGCATGTTCTGTTGTTTTCTGTAACTTTTTGGAAATAGTATGGGAGCCAAAATCCTTAGACATTTTGAGAGTCTTTCTCATTGAAAATATTTTTAACAAGAAACCACTAATTACGTGCCTTTTCCTCTTTACAGACAGACAGGATTTTCATCCATAGAAATTAATAAATTGTGAAGTAAAAAAGAGACTTGTGATCACCTTAGGCTCACCTGCTCTTTTACACTGCCCAATGAGGAGGTTTATACTTGCTGAATACATCTTTCACTCCTCAAGCAAGAAACCTGTCTGGTTCATGTTTCAAATACAGAACATCTTGAAAAAATACAGTATTGATTTGCATGTTGAAGCAAGTTAGGTCAGAAGATTCACCCACAAGATGCCCTACTGTTACTTATCATGCTTTGATTGGCTGTCAAAATATGGACCAAATTTCTTGGCTAAATTTGCCTAATTGTGGCTTTCAGCCACCAGCTCTTGTAAGACCTTTGCCTGCTTCAGCAAACACCTTTCTCTTCTGAGAAATCCTCTTCTGGGCCACAGAAGGATCTTGGGTCAGGCAAGATGCTCCATGTACAGCTGAGCCCTGCCGTGTGCAGGACATTGGCTTGCCTCCCTGGGGAGCAGGGAAGGAAGACCATAAACTCTGTCATTCAAACTGCCCCACATGCCTGCACTTGTCCTCTCAAGGGGAATGTGGACCACTCATACATCTCCTCACAACTTCATTGTCTTTTGTCCTCCTGCTGCCTTCACATCAGAGCATGGATAGCTCTGCTCTCATGAGCAAAATCACAGGCTACCTCCTCTGAACATTTATATACTGCTTTCAAAGGCAGATGGAAGGGGTTGTAGCCTAGGTTTAAATTAGCTTTCCCTACTAACTGCTTTCTGAAGCCTTTTTCCAACCCTCATAGGTAGCCCCCTATTGCATAGAAATCACTGGTCGCTACTGTTTTACCAGAATTAGTCTGGGGGTGTTTTGTAGAATAACTGGAAACAAATTTTGAGGCAGGTTTGTGATTCCTCCCTTCTCTCTCCATCCCCTAAATCTGAAGCCTCTTCTCCAGGACATCTAACTTTAGAATTAATTCTTGTACCAAAAGCAAACCTTGGGGAAAAGATCTCACAGTGCTCTTATTTCTCTTTTCAATCCTTTAAGTAACTCAATGGAAAAGCTTGTATGCACTGAACTACGTGCATAATGTCATATCCGCAGTAGAGAAAGTCCCCATAGCAGGCTGACAATATTAAATGAAAGAAATTATATTCTTATAAAGAACTTTATGTTCAAAGTACACATGTACAAAAAGAACTGCCAGTCTTGCTGACTCTTTGTGAATTAAAGTTTTGCAAGATTAGGTATTTTTCTTAAAGACCCAGTTCCTAGAGGGGATGATTATTGGATAAAATGTCTGGGGTTTTCCAATTCTGCTGCTGCTTTTTCAATATTTTTTTTCTGCCTTTCTTAACAAAAACAAAACAAAACAAAACAAACAAACAAAAAAAAAAAGCCCTGCAGTACAATCTGAATGTATCTTGCAGGCTTAAAATCCATGCAAATATGTATTTATTCTGTTCATTTAAGGCAATCTAAAATATAATCAAGGCCTTATAGTAACAACTTGGTTCACTTAATATGTGACTGATCCTTCCCCAAAGTATAAGATGGGTAAGAAAGCCAAAGGAAATAATGTTATTTTCCTTTTACAGAGGGAGAAGTAAGTCACAGTTACTTATGCTGAATCCAAAACCCGTTGATGTCAATGGATTGCTTGAGCTCACACAGTGGAACACACCTCTTCTAAATCTCTGACAATGCATTGAGCACAAGACATCTTTTCTTTCTAAACACTGCAACTAGTTAGATGTATTACTATTTTGCAGACTTTACAGAGCTCCCACTAATCTAAATAGGATTCCTATGCTTATGCAAGAGTCTCATAGAAACCAGCCCTCTGGAAGCAGTGGCTGTTATTTAAGCACATAGCATTAATCATCTAATCAATCTGCCTGAGTTTCTATTAGGTGAAGAAAGAAAAGGTGTCTTTTCTCTACCATTATAATATAGGTTGTCCCTTTAGATTTATTAGTTTGAGACTATTATAAATGTATTTGCTAAATCACAATAGTCTGAACTACTAACAACATGCTATAAGAGTATAAATACATACATTTAAAAAATCTGTGGTTCCTATTCTCCTCTGTTATAAATCCTGGCATGCAATAATTACATGCAACCCTGAGAAATGAAGCTAATCATAATCATCTTACAAACAGAAAACAGGCATTAGAAGTGTCATGTTGGGTCTGTATCAATGTTATATTTAATTAAGCAGAAAATTATGCACAATCCAGTAAAATGGTCTCTTGTTTAACAAGCAACCAAAACAAAGTTTACCAATACTAACAAGTGTTCACAAGAATAAGGAACTCAGCTTCTGTACTTTCAGGGTTACCTTAGGAAGGGCTTATCACAGCAAATTAAGGGACTTAGTCAGGTGAACGTGCATTCAAAATTCAAATTCTTTAGGCAGTCTTTGAAATCTCACCCTTTCACTGTACTTGCACCAATACCTTGGTATGTGTCAAAAAAAAATTAGAAATAAAAAAAAAAGTCCATGCTACTGGCCATGGCTGTGTAAACTGAAAACAGATTGCTGAGCAAATGCTTTCAGTTTACAGTTGGTATTGCTCCTCTATGTGTATTTTACCTCTGTATAGAGAGTACTTCACAATCACCACTTGTAACTCTCTTTCTACTGCTGCAGGGGCAGAGTTCATGGCTTACAGAAGGTGCAGAAAATGTTCAGAACCAAGATTAAAACACAGGTCTGCTATTGTCCCAGCAGACTACAGCTCTTCCACATCTCATGGAAGGATTTCTGAAATGTGGCTCTTCACCTAATCTTGTTTCTGTTAATATATTTCTTTTAATGACACTACAGGAATGCTTAAAATAAACAGATTTAGTCTTTTTTTTGGATCAAAACATTATTCAGTATAGTAGATAGATAATCCTTTTTAATAACTGTGTGAATATCACTCAGTAAATTAAATAACGTAAATACTATCAGAAATTATACTAATAGTTATATTTATTTGAACATTTTGTACACGTTTCCCCTTTGGTTAGATTAAAAAAAATATCAAAAAATATTTTGACTCATTAAGAATGAACAGATTAGATTTAACTAGCCACACAAATTGTAAGAAAGCACCTTAAATAATCAAGAACACTAGAAATCCAGTAGTTTTTCCACCCTGCATATTTCAAAGGCATTAAATTAAACATTTGAAATAAACTTGTCCACTAGTTCCAGCTGTTGCCAGTGAGGATATTTTTTATCTTTTAGCAAAACAGTAAGTCTCAAAACTCTATTGTTTTGAAAAATCCTATAGTCTCAATAGATTAAACTTCCCATTTTCATGGCATGCAAGAGACCAGGTCTTCTGCTGAGGGCAAATGAATCACAAAAACTGTGATGAAATTATTTATGAAGCATGGTTTCAGCTGTTGTTTACCATTTTGTAAACTTCCTTCACTCAGAGTCCTCTCATCCTACTTATACAATTTGACTGTAGTTTGTTTTTTTTTTCATTCACATTATTTAAAACAAAAAAAAATTCTTTTAGCTAAGGTTACTTGTTTAAATATTTTTTTTTTTAAATTCTGATTAAGTAGGGTGCAGCTGCATACGTTTAGATACCAACAAGAACCTACAGCATTGCAGAGATGTTAAGCTTTATAAATGCGTTAAAACTGAATATCCAGTCTGAAATAGACCTTTAAGTATCATGGTCTGAAATAAACTGTGTAGTTTACATGTCAAGAGACAGCCTAAGGACATATCTTGACTCCACAGAGCAGCCAGAAGGTATAAAAGAAACTAGTGTAGGGTTTGTAAAAATCCTGGAGGAAAACAGACAGGGACTGTGACTAATGAGAATTTCAAGGTATCTCCTAGAGAAAAGAATGAAAATATTTCTATTACAGAATAAGATCGCAACAGAGCAAAACCAGTCCCTGAACTGGCACTGTGTGAACCAGGCACATCCCCAGCTTGCTAGAATAATACACTCACCTTGTCCACAATGCAGATCTGCTTCTTGCTTTGCACATCAAGAATTTCCACTTCAAAGTATGTGATTTTTGAATGTTTGAGCACTGGTGGTGATCTGAGATTGCCAGCAGAGAGCACAAGCTGGGAGAAGTTGAAAAAAGAGCGTGTGTCATTGTGGGACATGGACAGAGCTCCTCCATGAGCTTCAAGACCCCTCTTGTGTTCTGGAGCACTAAGCTTCTGCCTCCTGAGCATGGTGTGACCCAGCAGTAGCAACCGTCATATCAACAGGGGACAGTTCCAGGGGGAAACTGCTTCCTCCCTGCATCAGTTAAATACAATCACACACTGACGAGACAGAAAGGTCAAGTGGCGTTCCATTTTAAGAGTACTGTCTTATTTAGCAGGAGTGAAAACAATGGCTCTGTAATCCATGTCTATATTTAACCTGCTGTTGTGATGTGCTGTATTGCTCCTGCTTCTTTTTTTTTTCCTTTTATTTCAACCAGCATTTGAAACAACACATCCAGAGATTCCCTATTAGTAGAAGTCAGATCCCAAAATTCCAGAGCCCCAAAGGAATCAGGAATGAATGCAGCAAATTCCACTGTTATCTGCTGACATAGATGTTTAAAAGTGTCCATATATGCCCACAAGTACAGGCATGTATGTATTTGTTATACATGCACATGTCTATCTATGCACCTTTAGTATGTGCCTACATATTATGTCAGATGTTATCTATTCTAGAGATATTTACTAACAAAATGCCAGGAGTTCATCAGCAAAATGTAGTGTTCCTTGCAAATACAGAGAGGATCTGATACCTGCTTGTATTTAGTACTATGGACTTTCTGTTGTTTAATGGGGTAGAGCTTTCCTTGCAGCTCTGCCAGGGAAACTCAGCTGACGTAAAGGAAATTATAACTACAAAGGCACGAATTCATGGCTTGGATCATTTTATTATTTTCTTATTCTTTCCTGACAATTAATTTTCACAATGCAAGTCTGAAGCAAAATAAAAGTAGCCTTAATGGTAAACATAAGGATTAGTTAAAACAACAAATTTTCTCTAAAATAACTTTCCACAAATCTTGTTTAAGCTTCATTTTGTATTTTTTTTTTTTTTTTACAGGATTTAATAGAACTACCAGCACTTGTCCATCCTGGGAATCTCCCTAAATTTCCCTGGGCTGCCTAGGATTACAGTGTTAGAAGGGCACCATGGATTTCTGCAGACAGCTTTTTTCAGTAGAGACACCAAGTAAGTTCTGAATACATTTCTACATGGTAAAACCTCAGGGAAACTACAATCACTATTGCAAAAAAAAAAAAAAAAAAAAAATAAGACCATATAAGTTTGTTACACTAAGAGAATTTAATTAAGTGAAAAAAACTTTCCACAAGATAAAAGTGACCACATAACTAACAGCCCCTCTGGGAGGCAGGGCGGTAACAGAACAAGTTTCTTTTCTTTGATTCTGCTATAACTTACTGAGAATTTAGTGGTCACTACATCTGGTTTAGCAACAAGTGACAAGGAGCTCTACAAAACAAACAAGAAACTAATTGATAAGTTGTTGCAAGAGTTAAAAATGAGAGTGAGGGGGATCCCTAAAGGACTGGTATTTGTAAAATAAAGCTCCTCTCCTGACAGTATTTACAGATATGCTCATCGTCATGTGTGTGAGTTATCTAGTTGCCATTGATAGAATAATCCATAGTACATCAAGTCGTATATGTGCTTAATTTCTGGAGGAAATGCATACATGAAATGTGTTCTGCTTATAGACACGTAGGAAAGATATAGAGGAGAAGGAAACAGTGAATTATTAGGGGCCAAACTCATGAACAGGGCTCAGCTCAGTGGTAACAGGACACAGGAAATTACAAGATACTTGCAATACCAAGAACTAGTCTAATTTATTTATGATTCTTTAGCCAGTTGTTCTGATTAAAGAGGCTAACCCTAACTCACAACTATGATGGTTTATGTCCGTATGACATGGTAATCTTCCATGTAGCTAAGGTCTGAGATAAAAGTCCATGTTATTTTGTTGATGAAGCTATGCACCCTTTGAATGCCTTCACTAGCTTTGTTAGTGGAAAGCCCTGACTGAGAGAATGCAGATGTGTAACAATGTTGATCACCTAATACAAATAAGGATTAATTTTTGGCTATACTGAAGTCAGTGTCTTGCCATTAATGTAAAACAAGTCAGGAGCCAAAGTAAAAAAATGTTACACTTGAACAAGGTTATATTGTGATCAATGAAGTACATCTGTCTCTGAGTTTAGACGAAAGGTGTGCAAGGAGCCACCACCTTGATGGAACCAATATAGGAAAGAGAAATTTTGATATAAGATAGTCAGACCACAGAGAGTGACAAATTTTTGGCTAACTGTAAGGGGCTTGCCAAAAACAGCCAGATAAAGACCACAGGTCCTAAATTTCAAGTGTGAGATACACTTATTTCAAGCAACTACTATAAGGAAACTATAAAAACTGCTGTACAGGAGATGAGACAAAATGATATAATGTCCCCTATTAATCATAAAATCTATGAATCAGTGAGCTGTAATAGCATATATTAACACATTTCTAAACTTCTTTCAATTCAAAAGCCATAAAGAATAATATTGATCGTCATGGCTAATTTCTGCGTATATAAAAACACAATGTTGCAATCATTACTGTGAGTATATTTATAATGTTATTTAAAATAACATCTGAGCTACTGCTTCTGAAAGAAAGCTTTTGATTTACTGCAGACATTTAAATGATCAGAATTTTATTACTGACCAATGAACATTTGAATATCTGAACCAATTCCAGGAAAATGTTTGCAAAAATATATTTGTCTTTTTTCAATCTAAACTAATGATATGCGATTTCAGTATTTTGATAAACAACAATCTTTACAGACCCCATTACTTTCCAGGCATAAACTAGTAGGGATTCCCTGAAGGTGACCAGCTCTTTCCTCACTCTGTTAAATTATAGGTCTAAGATTGAACTGCAGCACCATGTCTGCAGCAAACATATTACTTGCATATAAGGTGGGTGAGAGCTACTCTACCAAAAATAATCAGGGATAGAATTACCACTGATAACCTAAGCTCTAAAAGGGAGATGCATAAAAGCAGTGGAGATTTTGTCATTAAAGTGACAAGTGCTGCACTTCCTTGGAATGTCATCAATGGGTTTGGATGTTCTGGCTGGATGTGAAGTACTTCAGCCCATTCTGTGTAGAAGTGTGCATAGAAGGGAAGCATTAATTACTGGACAAAAGGCACATCTTCCCTTTCAGTGCAGTTATATGTACCTCATCTCAGCCCCCAGCACTGCAGAAAGGGAGTCCCAGCACACAGGGACAAGTGATCAGTCCTGCTGTGAGATTTAATGACCCTCATTACGTGGGTATGAGCTGCTGTTCCCAGAGCTGTGGCAGGGCTAGTAGACTGCAGTCACCAAGTCTCTGACTTCAGCTTTGACTCTGAGAAGAGTCAGTCGTCAGCAAAAATTAAATAATCTCTGACAGCTTCAACTCACGCTGAATTTCCTGCCATATAAGGGGAGGATATTTTTGAGTGGCCATGAGGATGGGCATAACTCTTCTCAAACTGTGGCCCTACCTCCTCTCCTGAATTGGCCCTTGGCTGACATGAGCTGTTTTGCAGATGGGCAGGCGTTTTGTTAAGCCATCCTTCCGAAAGACACTTCTTCCAGGAGGAGGGAATGCCTGCTCCCACAGCACGCAGCAGGGCCACCATTTCTGGTTAACTCAGCTGTTGGTATTTTTACAACAAAAGCAATACCTGTAGTAGACTTTTTGCACTCTTCTAATATAATATCTTGAAACAAGAATCAACCTGTACCGGTCATGACAAAACAGGTAACAAAGTGCTACGCATTCAGTTTCTGCTTATGACACTAATTTCCTGTGAGGTGTTAGGGAACTCCTGGTTTTCCTGCTTTTCCCTTCCCATTCCACATGTCTTCTCTGTGTGAGGCTCTCTTGCACTGTGTGTTTTGCAGACAGCCTGGCACAAAGGGATTTCACAAGATCCCAGCTGGGGCCTTAAGTCAATTCTGAAGTTCCTTTTCATCTTTGGTCGTGTTTTATACTCCTCATTCCCTGAGAACTGGTCATCTTTCATCCTGCAGAATGTCATCTGTTAAGTCAGCAGCAGAGGGCCAACTCTGTCAGGCCAGATGTATCAGCAGCCCCTCACACGTCGCTCTTTTATCCTACATGCTTTGAATGCTTGGTGTAAGTAGAGTTATTCCTTTCCCACTGGATTTGTGATGTCAAAGAACTGAACAATGTCCCCAAGACACTAGACTCTAGAGCCCAAAATATGCAGGGTTCAGTACTGCACATTATGCAGCCTAAAGCAAAGTAGATTCCCAAAGTCACACATGTTCCTTTCAGTGTCCCATTTTTTGAGATTCTGCCATTCATTTTGCTGGGGAAGGAGATACTAGAACCAAGTGCTCAACTGCATTGCAAACAGGCATTGAGATCCCGTTGCTAAAGGAGATGTGAACCACTAAGTTCATGTGGTACATATTGTACCTCATGGTCTCACCGTCCTTTTTTTGGGCTGTGCAGCCCATATGCCTGGTACTGCACATCAGCGCTGCTCCACAACTCCCCATTTCATAGAATCATAGAATGTTCTTTGATTGGAAGAGACCCTTAAAGGTCATCTAGTCCAACACATCTGCACATCTGCAATGAGCAGGGACATCTTCAACTCCATCAGGTTGGTCAGAGCCCTATCCAGCCTTGTATTGAATGTTTCCAGGCATAGGGATCTACCATCTCTCTGGGCAACCAGTTCCAGTGCTGAGGACTCCAGAGCTGGACACAGTACTCCAGGTGAGGTCTCACCAGAGTGGAGCAGAGCAGCAGAATCACCTCCCTCAACCTGCAGCTACATCAGTCAATTCCCTCAGGACTTTGGGATACATCTCATCAGCTGCCATACACTTAGGTATGTTCAGGTTCCTCAGGTAGTCACAAACCAAATCTTCTCTTACAATGGGAGGGACCTTGTGCCCCCTGCCACGGTCCATGTTGCGGCCCGTTGACTGAGAAGGTGTGGGATGAGAGGTTGTTAGTAGAGACTGAGGCAAAAGAGTTGTTGAGTATCTCAGCCTTCTCCTCGTCTGCTGTTACAGGCTTGCCAGTCTTTCTCATTGGGACGTATGCTTTCTTTGACCTTCCTTCTCTGGTGGACATACCTGCCCTACACAACTGCACAGCATCCCTATACTTTTCCCAGGATA